ACTGAATAAAACAGTATTGATCCTGTGGTTTTACTTCATTACTAGCACATTCTAAATAGGTAAATTAAATAATTTTTTAAAAGTAATTCAGGACACAGAGTTGAAGAGAAAAGTAGTCTTCACATTAGTGGTTAAGAAACCAGACCCTATTCCTAGCTCTGGGACCAAATGTGTAGGTTATGTGACAAAATGGAGAGCTTAAGGTTCACCTACATGTGGATCACAAAATCATTGATTCAGTGACTTCCACATGCACTCACTCATATCAACATTAATATTTTCAAGAATTGTCAGTCCACAAAGGAGACTCTCCTCTATGAAAGATGATACATTTTAGCAAGCTATCCTTTCTGAATATTTAGAAAAATAATTTGATGAAAAGTATTAAATTATTCTGACACATTTTTTTCCTTTCATAGTAATTTATATTGTGAGAAAAAGGATATATATACTTAATTTAACCAAAAATGTATTTAATGCATTTAAGTGTTTATACCAAATTTTCTTGAATTAACTAGAATTTGTGAAAAAAAGTGCTGAATTATGGTAGCACTGATGAATTAGGGTATATAAGTATTTATATAATTTACATATTCAGTAAATAATTCTGGTTTGGAGTTATTAATTGCTTACATCTAATTTTAGCATTTATTATCTCTAAAAGATAGAATTTTAATGTATTTGCTTATTTACTTACTCTCTTCCTTCCTTCACTAGACTGCATGATCCAGGAAAGCAGAAATTATTTCTTTAACAATTGGAATATTTCAAATATTTAGGGTCTGTCCAGCACATATTGAATGAACAAAAATAAATAAATATCACATGTATTTTCCTAAGTACAACATGAAGAATGGATATAGATCTTTATCTCTTTAATGTGAATATATTATTTTGGTATTGAGTTGTTTCCTACTATATTTTTTTCTATTTGAGATGATTATATAAGTCAAAGGAAATTAAATTACTATACACCTTAGAGAGAAGCGATTAAGTTCTAAATTGCTAAACATTCCCCAACACTATAATTTAATGCAGTTACTGCCCTGTAGGTAGCTTTTAATGGTTTCCATTCTCTGTAATTATTGTAGATCATCAATTTGTGTTTAAATATTTCTTTCTAACCACTTAAACTAGTTTCTGTGTCCTATTCAAGGTGTATGTGTGTGTGTGTGTGTGTAAAAGCATTTGAGTGGGGAGCACCGACCCAATTTAGAAACATTTTAAAATTTAACATAAAAAATATATATAGAGAGAGTTAATTTAAGCTAAAAGTCCTGTTCTTAATTAGTTCTTTTATTATGATATTTATGTTGTATATTCATTTGTTTAAATAAATTAAAGTGATTTACTAAAATGGGAAGCTTGAACTGTGTTCCTTGAAAAAGTATAGTAAATTGGGCATTTATACAAAATAGAAACAGCTTTTGTTAAATCTTATTGAACACATAATTGAAATTGTTTCAATGTGCATGACCTATATGTGAAGATTGTTATGTTGTCAGTTTGTTTAAATAAGAAAATAATTTTTATGTAATGGAAAGAATATGAGATAATTTTTATGTTTAGTTTATTTTAGCTATCTAAATGCTTTAAAACATATTATATATTTAGTAATTACTAGAATATTATTTTATGAAGTGAAGCTAACCAAAGCAAAAAAGGAATAAAGGAAAGACACTGCTGAAAATGCTTTCCCTGTTTAGCAATTGGAATTGTGACAAAACTTACCTAATATGATTTAGAACTCTACTTGTAAATTACTAAATTGTATGGCTGTGAAATTAATAATATCCTGAAAAATGTAAACTATTCTGGAATTTATACTGATCATAGTCGTTATTTTTTTATGTTATACATCAAAACTTTCTGTCGCTCTCTAGAAGACACTCCACATCTGCAAGTAGGAAGAAAACTGATCCTACTTTTTAAAATTATTCAAAAAAGAAAGGAGAAGTGAAGGGGCAAGGAGAGGGGCAGAGCTTACATAAAATAGTAGTAGAATAATTTGTAAATTTACCAAACCATTAAGTCAATAAACCCCAATAAAATAAACAAAAGAAAGTGTATGAAGTTGTTTCACAATCAAATTACTAAAGTGAGTGATTAAAGAGAAAAATCTTAAAACTAGCCAGAAAACAAAAGATACATTGCATACTAGAAAAAAATAAAAAAGACATCAGCCAACTTCTCTTCAAGGACAATGCAAGCATTGGCATTGAGAAATCTGTCAAACTAGAATATTGGAACCATTTAAAACATCATTCAAAGTTTTAAAAAAAATGTACCCACACAAAAACCAAAGACACTTACCAGCAATAAACCTACACTAGAGGAAATGATGAAAGAAGTCCTTCAAGCAGAGAGAAAATAACATTTGATAAACATTTGGATCTGCACAAAGAGATGAAAAGCAGAGGAAATAGTAATCATGTGCATAAGCATAAAGGAATAGTTTATTTTAAATGTCTTTACAAAATAACTGACTTAAAAAAAAGAAAATAAAAATGTATGACTTTCATAACATCTAGCATTAAAACGTATGATAACAATGGGACAAATGTAGTAAGGAGGAATTGGAATCATATTTTTATGGCTCTTATACTATACAGTTGACCCTTGATCACTGCAGGGGTCAGGATCACCAAACCCCACACAGTTAAACATCCATGTATATCTCTTGCCCACCCCAAAACTTAACTTCAGTCATCCCGTGCTGTCTACAGAGGATTGATTCCAAGACCACTGTGAATATTAAAATCTGCAGATGCTCAAGGCCCTTACATAAAATAGCACAGAACAATGCATACAGTTGGACCTCTGCTTCCACGGATTCCCAACTACAAATTAAAAATGCTGTTTCCTATCCAAAGTGGTTCGAACCCATGGATGCAAACCCAGTGATACATGGGGCCAACTATATATTCATTCTTTAAAAAACATAAACGTATAAGTGGATTTGTGCAGTTCAAACTGTGTTGTTCAAGAGTCAAATGTATATGATGTGGTAAACTATCACATGAAAATAAGTTACATGGTTATACTATAAAGGAAGTACAAAAAAGTATTATAGCTAAAAATTAACATAGAAGATAAAATTTAAATTATAAATAATCAAAAGAATAAGAAATAGAGATATCAAACATTTTTAAAAAACTATTAGGTTTAAACTCAACAATATAAATAATTAAATGTATATAGTCAAAGTACTCCATAAAAATGACAGAAATGATTAGTCTGTTAAAGAACAGGTTAACTTAAAGATTATAAAGTGATATGCCATACTAATACTAATTAAAATAAAGATAGAATAGCTATATTAACATCAGATGAAGTAGATTTCAGATCAGAGTACATCATCTGGAATAGAGATGCTCATTTGATAATTACAAAGAGGATTTTAAAATCTTAAACATTTTGTACTTATTAAATAATGTTAAGTAGATGAAGCAAAATCTGTTTGAACATACTTCATGGTGAAAGACTGAATGCAATTTTCCTAATATTGTGTATAATGTAAGAATGCTGGCCCTCATCACTTCTATTTCTCATTGCTCAAGAGTTTATAGCAAGTGGTATCAGGCAAGAAAAAAATATTATTCACATTAGAAAGCAGGAAGTGAAACTGCTCTTGTTCACAGACAAATCTATATAGAAAATTCTACAAAACCTGGGAATTGCTACTGAAGACAACAAGCAAGTACAAAGGCTACAAGATCAATATATAACCACTTGTATTTCTACATACAAACATTTTAAAACATGCATAAAGCACAAGTCATGAAAATAAAATATATAAACTGGAATTTTTCTAAATTTAAAATTTCTGCTTCTTGAGTATTACTCTGAAGGAATTAAAATACAAGCCATTGACTGGAAGAAAATATTTACAAACTATAGCTCTGACAGTAAATTTGTATCCAGAATATTAAAACACTCAAAACTCAATGGTAAGAAAACAAACAGGCCATTTTTTTTAAAACAAGGAACAGTGTATTACTTTGTGGTGCAGGGGCTAGAATTCAAGCATTTGGAGGGCTCAGGAGCTATGCTGGGCAGCTCGAGTGAGCTTTTTCTCACAGCTTCCTTACCTTCTTTGTGAATTCTTCTAGCTCTTGGCATGTCTTTTCCTACTCAGGTGACCACAGCTCCTTCTTGCTCTTGCGTTGCATAGCCCTCAAACCACTCATCCTGATCAGCAATCTAAAACATAGTCAAAGGGATAATGAGCTAGGGGGTGAAGCTGGAGGTTTACCTGCATGATGCAGAAACCACCAGATGTTTATCTCTCAAAGTATCTCAGTGGCTTTACTTCCAGGTCCCACAAAGTTAGAGCAACTATTTCCTTTGCAGCAAAGAAAAAGGTTGAAGAAAAACGAACTCAGATATGTATTTCCTGTTCCGTTTAGAAGACAAGAGGTTACAAACAAGAGAGCTGAAGAAGTAAACATAAACACACACACACACCCCATTGAAATCAAGTCAGCCAGGATCACTTGTGCCTCTTCGTATCTGATGACCATTCTAGACAGGCAAGAGGTGTTGATATGGTTGATGATGAAGACAACAGCCCCAGTACTGAGGTCGTCGTTACTTTTTCCCTAAAGCGACTAAAAGTAGGGATAAGCCAGTGGCCAGGACCAACTGTTCCCTGCCATGGGCCAATCTCATACTGCCAGAAGTGCTTCTTCCTTTCTAGTGGCAGTTAACAACTCATTGCTTCTCTGCTTTTTCTTAGCCATAGCTGGTATCAATTGGGTATTTTAGCGGTCAGTCTTTTGTACCCACCAGCTCAGACTTTGTGTTTGGTTGAATACATTCTCATTTAGTTTTGCTTTAGAACTTGTCCACATTTTCTTTTGGGAGGTATTGAGGCAGTAGTACATTTCGCCACACCATAAGCTGTCAACAAATTAAAATGCGCCATGATTAATGATCCATTATTAAGAAATATATCATTGGAAATTTCTTTTGATTCATGGGATATTATAAGAAAAAATATACTGACCTGGCCGAGGAGATATCATGATCATGAAGGTGGTTTTCCCATGACGAGGCTTATCCACTGCGCTCTGGATATGCTGATCCCTGTGATTTCCCCAAATGTCGGAAACTCAACTGTGTAACTTGTGGTAGTAGGGGACTGTGCTTGCATGCTCCCCTGATTAAAAAAGAGAAAGCAAAGAAAAAAAAGAAAGAAAGAAGAGACACAGAAATATGCAAGAAAGTTTTCTGAATATTTTTTCATGGATGTTACCTAAAATATTCTTTATGTATTTGGAAAAATAACTACATTTCTGAACCTATGTTTTGATTTAGTTAACACTGACTTGATTACTTTAAGCTAAATCTAGGTTTTCAGTTATCTAGTCCTATATGGTTCTAAACCCTATATGACTCTGAGCTTAGAGATTTTAAAAGTTATCATGGAGAAGATGAATACCGAACAATGCGGTAAAGTACATATATTTATCTAAAAGTTAGCTTGAGAAAAAAATCAAGTCACAGTAATCCCTCAAGTAATAGGGTAGACAAGAAGAAACCAATAAAAGGGTTTTATTGCATGTAACAAAAATAGCATGATTTAGTAACTGAGTTGTAAAACCTTGAGGCAAAGTCACCTATGGCTTTCTATTTTTCTACTGAAAAAGTATTCTGGAGATAAGAATACGATCTTTAGAATTTATATTCTGATCTTGTCACCTATTGGATGCTTGACTCTGTTCAGTCATTTTAGGGAGAAATTTCTGTTGTGCAACATGGTAATAATAACATCACCCTCCAGAGTTAGGTCAATACTCAAGTACAATGTCTGGCATAGAGTAGGCTTTGATAAATGCCGTTTGGCTTTCTTTCCTAACAATGTTCATAACTGCAGTATTATACCAATTGCAAATTTTCAATCTGGTTCTCAGATATCAAATAATGAAAATGTAGTTTGAAAGATTGTACATGAAACATAACATTTCTTTGATGGACTGTAGCTAAGGAAAATAAACCTGAAAGGAAAAATGTTTTTTGAAGTTTATGGAATTTAAAATGGTAATGTTTAGAAGGTTGACAAAAATGATAGCGTTTTTAAAAAACAAAATATTGCTTAATAATGTATCAAAATAGAAATTATTCTAAAAAGCAGTGGGATTATTAGAGTTATGCATGTATTAATGAGGTTTAAAAAAGTCAATGGTAATTATTTAAACCTAGTTCCCTTTGATATTTAAAAAACACATATGTAGTAGATTACATACATGTACAGGCAGAATCATCTCCTGTAGTAGGATAAAATTAAGAATTTTAAAGATTAAGATACAGAAATAAATTCTTATTAAATGACATTCAAAGTTTGAAAACCCTTGCGTGGTACAATTCATCTCTCTCAATAACTGTTCAGCCAGTGACTACAGTTAATTCTTCCTCCTACTGTCTTCCAATCAGGAAGGACACTTTAAACCACTTTTCAATGGAAACATAAGTACATTTTGTGTTAGATTTTCATATTTAAAACTGGACACGCACCTTCAGAGAGTGAGTTATTTAAGCAAATTACTGTCATTAAATTAACAGGACATAGTCATTCATGGACAAGTTATTGAGTCCGACTCCAAGTTACATCCCACAGGGTACTGAATCACTTCATTATTTTTAGTTTTCATACCTTTTATTCTTCAGTTTAAAGTATTTTTATTTCCTTTTTTTTCAAATTCCTAGATCACTTCTCTAGTGTTTAAATTACTATTGTTTGCTTGCAATTACTCTCATCCTTACATTTATCATTTGGATTTTGTTTTTTTCAGATCTTAAATTTCAATTTGGCTTATTATTCTCTACATTTGTATACCGTGACCCCAATTATTTGCTCATTTTTTTAAAAAAAAACTCTCCTGGATGTTTGAATATTTTATTTATTTTTATTTTATTATTTTATTCTGCCACCATCCCCCCTGTATGTTCTTATAGCTACTTTGAATTCCTTCTTCTTTAGTTCTAATGGCTTCATTACCTCTGTCTCTGTTTCTGTTAATTGCTTGTTATCTTGATTATCCACAATTTTTCCTGCTTTTCTACATGTTTAGTAACTTTTTCTTCTATATACAGGACCCTGCAAATATTACTTTTTATATGTGTCTTGAATTTATTTTCTTCCATTTAAGAGTGATTCTTTACCTCTTTTTCTGGCATTTAGTTTTCTGAGGAATCAGCTTGACTCTGTCAAGGCTCATTTTCAGGTTTGGTTATGGTAGATTTAAAGTAATCCCACTCCTAAAGTATAAGAGTACAGTTTTTTTTCCAGGGGAGAGGGGAGGTCTTAACTAAACATCTGATATATTTATGAAGGTCTGTTGCTCTTAGCTACCCTGACCATCCAGAACTTCCTTTTCTGTACTGTGTGACCTCAGAATCCCTTCTCAGCTGCAGTCCTCTCTCCTTGTAGGAGCTGGCTTCCCCAAGTCTCATGGTATCTTGCTGGAAGCATGTACACATATGTGGTAAAAGACTCAAGGAATTTCTTATGTAGGTTTCTAGAGTACCCTCTTTCTTTACTTTTTCCTTCTAATTGGATTTATCGGGGTGACACTGGTTAACAAAATTATACAGGTTTCAGGTGCATAATTCTATAACACATCATCTGTACACTGTGTTTTGTGTTCGCCACTCCAAGGCAAGTCTTCTTCCATCACGATTAATTCTCCCATACCCTCCTCCACCTCCCCTATTCCTCCCTCCCCCACAATTATGTCCATTAATTCTTTCTCTTTTTAAAAATTTTTGCTTTATCCTTCTACTCTTCCCTCTCAGCCCCCTGAAACTCCTGTCCCACAGCTGTCTGCCCGTTCTCTCTCTTCTTTATTCTGTTCTCTTTTCTCTGTTCCATTAAAACACACATTGTTGTCACCTCAGCAGCTCCAAACAGTGATCTTGGTCTCTCTGCCCAGTGAGATCATAACTATCTGTAGAGTGCTCTGAGGCAATAAATAAATAAATAAATAAATAAATAAATCAAAAACAACAACAAAATAAAAAAAAGATTAACAGGTGAATATGGACTTCTTTTCCTGTGTTTCCCATATTTCCAAAAATCATTGCCTTGGGCTACCTATTGCCTAATGTCTCAAAATAATTGTTTTTAAAATATTTTATAGAATTTTATAATGTTTATAATGGGCAGGTATCAGAACTCTCTCAAACTCTTGTCATACTGCTAATTTGATGTTTTTGTAGAAAAGAAAAAAATGGGAAATAAAAAAAAATATGAAGTTCTCAATGTCAGAATGAAAACATCTGTCCCAAACAGGGTTAAAAATAAGGTTAAATAGCTGAAGAAGGAAGTACGATGTCCTAGATTGAAACTTGTCCTTTGAAAAAAGTTAAAGAGTGGTTTAACCAAGTATATACTTTAACTAAATTACCTAGACAAATATACCATTGACCTAGGGAACCATATTCACAGGAAGAGACAAATTTTAGAGTCTGGTATTTTTATCTAAAATTTTAAAGTGAGATAGAGATAGCCTTAAAGGAATAAACAATATAATTATGAATTTTTATCCTAACACATTAGCACCTATTAATATTTTTATAATTGACCTTCTTCAGGCCACATACGCCTTTATCTCTTTAGCCATCCCATAAAATCTTGGAGAGCATTCACATAACTTATTCATCTAAATATCTTTAATACCTAATCTATGACCTGGTATAGCAAATGCATCTTAAACATTGTTTCAAAGGAGATGTTAATTTTGTATTTGAGGTTAATATATAATAATGACTAACATAAAATGAATGCTAAAAGTTTGCTTGTCACTTTTCTGTTCAAACCTTATCATAATCTTGGTAAACCAGTAAGTCACATAAGCATAGAACAGTTAAGTGACTTGCCCGAGGTGATCTGGCTAGTGAACAGTGGAGATTCAAACTCTAGTAGGCTGACAAAGCTCTTGACCAGTGTGACATGCTACTTCTGAAGCAACAAAACAGGACATATTCATTAAAAAAATTCCCATTGTAAAAGTTCACTAAAATATTGCTTCTTCTATGTTGAATGCTGGGATATCCTAAAGGATATTTTAATAGGGGTAAATATAGAACATTAACATCTGCTATCCATTAGTTTGGCAACAAACCTAGCAAAAAGCAGAGGCTGACGTACGTTCAGAGGCATTATGCTATCAGTAAAGTTTGCTTCCTAAGGTAGAAAATGTTTCTGTAGGCAACAGAGTAGTTTTGTAAACCCAACAATTTGGGATGGATTGGGAAAGCCAGGAAGTATGGAGCAGAGGGGCAACTTTAGAGCTTATGCTGTCCACTCATTCTTGAAAAAAGTAGGGCCATTTGGTATTTGAAAGTTACCAATTTGATAAATGAAAGTACATTTTTCCTTCACAATTATTTTATTTTTACTCTAAAAGTTTGTGTTCTTTAATATTTCGGTTACAATAACATGTACTCAGAAAGGTTTTCTAATGACATCAATAAATGCCCTTCCTGACTTTGGATCCAGTGTGGAAACCCAGAAACCTATGTAGCTTCTAAAATTAAAGTGAAGAATTTCACAAATAAACTTTCATCATTTCTGTCATTTTTATGGAACCTAATCTAGTAAAGAAGAATATTGCAGCTAAATGACTGACAGGGAAAGCATCTTTTTTTAATTGGCACTAGGCAATTTATCAGACTCTGATGTCAGGGACACCCCATTAGGCTCTGAGAAAGTGATTGGTGGGATAACATTCAATTGGAAATCTCTGTGGATGATAGTTCATGCCACCATTACATCAAGTTAATGAATGAGGCCCAGTAGCATCCTCCTCTTCCTAGAAGGAACACATCCATCACAGAACAAAAGGGTCCCCAGTGCCAATAAGATGTCATGTGTTTTTTTTTTTTTCTTTTTAGTCTGTGTGAGGACAAAAAGATTTCAGAGTCTAAACTAAGAAAAGTACTGACATCCTCATCCCATGGAAAATAATTACCTGGACCATCTCAGCTCATTACTTTTTCTATATCTAGAAGTGTATCTACATGTACATAATCTACCTTAGGCAAACACAAAGCTCTCTCATGTCTTTTTCTTGGAAGAGATGAGCAATCTCCCAGTAATGAGGTTTGAAAAACTGTATAAACTCTTAATTGTACCATTGCTAAGCTTCTTAGCACAACATC